GGTCATGGATGAGCATCTTGATGACTGCAAGAAAGATGGAAAACATAATTGGTGCAATCATGGAGCCTTGCTTGATGGCAGTTCAAATGACGAAGGATTCTGTAGCAGAGTCACTGCAGAGAATGGAGGCAGTCATCTGATCATGAAGGAGTCCTAGGATGGTGATACATTTCTCTGGGTAGCCAAACTTTAATAAGGTCTTCCATACAACCTCATGGTTAACAGAGTCAAAGGCTTTGGTCAAATCAAAGTTCCTGGTCAAATCAAAATTCCTGGTGTTGTTCTTGGTATTTTTCTTGGATCTGCCAGGCCACAAAAATCATGTCCATGGTGCCTCTTGATGGTCTGAAGTCACACTGAGACTCAGGAAGGATTTCTTCAGCAAGAGGGATCAGTCAGTTCATTAGAATTTGAGCAAGGATCTTACCAGTAATGGAGAGGAGGGTGATACCTCAATAGTTTCCACAGTTAGACTTATCTCCCTTTTTTAAAATGGTGACATTACTGGCATTCTTTAGGTCAGTGGAAATTTCCTCAGTGTTCCAGATTTTGAGAAACAGTATGTGAAACTTGTTGTTTATAGTTTCTCTGCCTACGTTGAAGACCTTGGCTGGTATGTCATCAAAGCCAGATGCTTTGTTGTTCTTCATCTGTCTTATCACCTGGTGGACATCTTTGGAGGTTGGTGGACCAACAAGTAATTCCCTTACTGGATGCTGCGGGATGGATTCAGTGGTTTCATCAGTCACTGTTGATTCTCAGTTCAGGAGCTTTTGGCAGTGCTCCTTCCAGCAGTTTTTGATGGACTCATTGCCTTTGAGGAGTATACTGCAACCTTCAGATCTAAGTGGAGTCAGTCCACAAGAGCTTGGTCTGTACACAGCCTTCATTGCACTAAAGAAGCTCCACGTGTCATGATTGTCAACATATTGTTGAACTGCTTTCGCCTTCTTTTCCACCATTTGTTTCTGATTTCTCAGATCTTCCTTTCGGGTTCAGCTTTAAGCTGTTGAAAAGTTTCCTGCTTCTGACTGGATGTAAGATGGATGAGAAAATCTTTCTGTGATTGGCAAAACCAATTGAGAAGGACTTTGATCTCAGCATTGTTTTCATCAAACCAGTCCTGATGGCATTGGCTGATAAAACCAATTGATTCCAAGCAAGCTTCATGGATGGTATGCTTTGGATTTTGCCAATCTTCCTCAACACAAGTGTTATCATTTTCAATCTTAAGATTGGTGAGTTTCTTACTGAGATGTTTTGAGGATTTTACAGTGTCTAGGGG